TCCAGCAACAGTGGCAGCATTGGTGACTTGCAGGTAGCAAGCAGCACTGGGCCCTTGACAGTCACAGCCTTGACTTGAGGAGTCAGTCTCTGTATCTGCCAATGACATTTTCACATCCTGACTGAGCTCACTGAGACAGGCCTGGGGAGGCTAGGAAGCTAGAGACTCAAGGGCATTGTTATCCCCAGCCTCAGGGTTCTGCACGGTAAGATTGAGATAATGGTGCATATGGACACCACTGGTTGGTTCCATTTCAACGTAGAGCATTGAAAAAAAAGTTGGAGCCGCTATTCTGAGAGAATTGTTACATAGCAACAATTATGAAGAAAGGCTTTTCCAACTCTCATCTACAAAGCTGCTCTTATAGATCTGTCATAAGCAGGATTTAGATATAAAGTTTAAAGTCACTACAGCCCAGCCCTTTAAACAAACCTATGTGTAATATATCACTACAAAGTGAGTTACAAAGAACTTGTTTGCTTTGAATTAGAAATATCAATGGAAAGCATCCCGGCTTCCTTATTAATAGGTAATCCTAAAGCACTAAATACAAACATTATCAGGGCATAAACCATCTGTTATAAGAAAAACATTTTATTTTATTTGGCTAGCATAGTCTTTTGTAATCAAAGTTTTTATCTCCCTTTCCTAGATAATAGTTATGAAGTAGAAAGCCCATAATGACATACTTCTTCATGGTACCTTCTTCTTTTCTACTTTATTTTTCTTAGACGTCCTTAATAGTAATAGCCTCATATGCCTCTTGATTTGGGGACTTTAGCTTTGTGTCCAGGATAAAAGTAAATGCAATTTAAATGGATGTAAATAATTTTTATTAATCATTACAATACTTTTATTAAATGTAATTCCCTTACCTCTAGCTATGCAGAGGCCTCTTAAAACCCTAAATTCTGTCTCATTCTGGATTATATCCTGTTTTTTTTTTTCCTTTTGCACTGGCAGTGTAGCCTTGAACAGGTTTCTTAACCTCATTTTGCATTATTTTTCTTGTTGGCAAAAGGAGGGGTTAGACTGTATCCAGGTTAAGTCAACTTAGTAGTGTGAATTCAACTATGAGATGTTATAAGTAAGAAGTTATTCAAATGCAGTATGTAAAAGGCTAATGAAAGAGACAATAAGGATGAGTATATTTAGCATAAAAAACAATTTAGTTTTGCTGATAAAGAACCATGGTGACTCTGCCCGAGTATTAGTACTTAATGATCTTAGTCGTTAAGCTTGGCAAAGAAATGCACTGAATGATACGGCTAATCTAGTCACTCTTTCTGTGGAAAGATTACAAAGTACTAATAGAAGTCAAGGGGAGAAACACCCTCAAGATTCCTTTGTTGTCTTTCTACTACAGACTGACATTATATTAGCTGACATTATATTGCACTCCACATCAAAGCTGAGGAACCTGCAAAAGGAAGCAATGGAGTGATTTAGTACTTCAGTGTTATACTTAGAGTGGTGGAGAGCAAAATAAAATGTGTATGTTGATTGTTTTTAATGTAAAAATACGGGGGGGGTTGTGGGGAGGGTGTTTTTTATTTTTTAGATTTTATTTATTTACTTACTTGATGAGGGAGAGAGCACAAGGGCAAGCAGGGGGAGCAGCAGAGGGAGAGGGAGAAGCAGACTCTCCAGTGAGCAAAGAGTCCTATGTGGGTTCAATCCCAGGACCCCGGGATCATGACCTGAGCTGAAGGTAGACGCTTAACTGACTAAGCCACCCAGGCACCCTGTAAAAATATGTTAAAACTATTTTGCTTACAGAATCCTCACTACAATCTGTGGACCTCTTTTCCCTCTTCTACATTATTTTTTACATTTTATTCTAGGAATAAGTCTTGTCAGTGAATAGGGATGTCTAGAAAGCTGCTCATGTGAATTTTAGATTCTTTGTTCAGATCACATTTAAGGAAATTTTTAAAGTGGTTCTAGAATAACATTTTCCTTTTTTACTTCCTACTTTTTTTTTTTCATTCACTGAGGAAAAGATCTCAAATGTTCATTTATAAATCTTCTTTAAACTAGATATGGTAGAACGCCTGGGTGGCTCAGTTGGTAAAGCGTCTGCCTTAGGCTCAGGTCATGATCCCAGGGTCCTGGGATCAAGCCCCGCATCGGGCTCCCTGCTCAGCGGGGAGCCTGCTTCTCCCTCTGCCTGCCGCTCCCCCTGCTTGTGTTCCCTCTCTCTGAGAAATAAATAAACAAACAAACAAACAAACAAACTAGATATGGTAAGACAACCTGAGTTTCTTCTCTGAGATAGTATCATCTTGTTGTTAGCTAAAGGATTTAAGTACCTGACTTGTAGCTCTGATTTTTCTTCTAAAGAGTTGGTTTAGTCTTTTTTTGTGTGTCTCTAAACGATGCCATGAAAATCAACGTAAGTAGAACCCATATATGCCAGAAAAGGAAATGAGACCCACACTTTGTTGTAGCATCATAACTATAAATCAGTGTAGAAGCTGGCATCTACACAATAATTAAAAAGCCTCCAAATACTTAGAAATCTGAATTTAAAAATAGACAACCAAGGTGTATTGAGCAGGTGCTCTATACGTAAGACTGTATTTTAGGCACTGTGGGGGATACAAAGATTAAACAAAGCCTCTGAACTCAAAAGACTTTACAGCCTGCTGGATGTTGAGGAAAGGGGGAGATGAATGTGTGCACAGGTAACTACAGTAAAAAGTTAAATATATCAAATGGCAAAAAAAGCACAGACTATTGGGAATTTCAGAGAAGCAAAATATCTCGACCAGAAAGATTTAAAAAAAAAAAAAAGAGGGTTTTACAGAAGTGGGGTTTGTGATTGACCCAAAGGATAGAAAGGGTTTAAAGAAATAGAAATGAAAGGATGAGGGCATTCTGAGGCGCCTGGGTGGCTCCTCAGGTCATGATCCTGGGTCCTGGGATTGAGCCCCACGTCTGAGCAGGGAGCCTGCTTCTCCCTCTCTCTCTCTCTTTCTGTCCCTCTCCCTGACCTGAGCGCATTCTCTCTCTTAGTCACTTGCTCACTCTCAAATAAGTAAAATCTTTAAAAAAAAAAAAAAAGAAAATGAAAGGATGAGGGCATGGTAGGAGGTATCTGTAACATGGATAAAAAAGCAAAAAGAAGGGATTTGGTGAAGAGTACAAAATAACCATAAAGAGTGGTTGAAAAGCGGGGTCTATCATAGAGATAGATCCTTTCGTGGCAGATAAACTTACTTCAGTGGACAGTGAAAGTCATTTAAGTTTTGAGCAGAGTACTGTCATGAAACCTGCACTTTGGGAAGATTAGTCTTGCAGAGATCTGGAGTCAGATCTGATCCTGTCTTCCACCAGTCCTTCCAGTCCTTCAAAAGCTTCCAACTGCTCTTAAAGAAAAAACCTCTTATTGTGGCCCCCGCGGCCCTGTGTAGTACAGCCCCTTCTTCTCCAGCCTTCTCTCGCACCACCCTACCTTGTTCTCTTTCGCAGAACACTGACCTTCTTTCAGCCCTTCTCATCACACCCTCACCGTAGGACACTGGTTGTTCCCTCTGTCCAGAATATTCTTCCCTCCCCTCTTCCTTTGGTTAATTCCCCTTCATCTTTTAGAACCTGAGGAAACTTCCTCAAGAAATTTTTCTTGACTTCCTTGCCTAGAGCAGATGTCTTTACAAATAGACTTTAATAACACCATGTATTTATCTTTCCTACACTTGTTTTCAGTTTTGTATGTAATTGTACGATTACTTGATTAATGTCTGCCTCTGTCATTCAACTTGAAGATTGTAGGGGCTGGTTCTTTGTCTGATTTTATTCACCTTTATATACCCAGCACTTAGCATTGTGCCTAATTACAGATTTATAATAAATATCTGGAAGTGAATGTGTGAATTAATGTGTGAATGAGATTAATTAGCAAACTGTCCTTTCACACTCTTTGTTGACTTCTTCCCTCCTGCCTACAACTGCTTATTCATCTTTGAAGTCTAAAAAACAAAACAGAAAAAACTCTATCCTTTGTCCTTAACTTCACTGACCCCTCAGACTATCCATCCATTCACTTAGCAAACTTCTTAAAGACCTAGTCTGCTGTCAGTGATTCTAGTGCTTTTCAGTAATCTCTTGCATTCTTATTCTTGCCCACACCATTTATGAAATTGATTCCTCAAAGACTCCAGTAGTGATAGTATAGTTAACCAAAGAGTACTGAGGCAGTGAACTGAAATGATGACAAGGAAAATTAAATGGGAAAGACAGATGATAAGAGACATTACAACTCCAGAATCTACAAGGTTTAGCAATGTGTGTGTGTTGAGGGGATGGAGAATAAATGATTTCAAAATACAGGCACACTTCATTTGATTATGCTTTACGTTATGCTTCGCAGCTTGCATTTTTTACAGATTTAAAGTCTGTCAGCGCTATTTTCCAACAGCATTTGCTCACTTCGTGTCTCTTTGTCACATTTTGATAATTTTTGCAATATTTTAAACATTATTATTATATTATGGTGACCTGTGATCAGTGATCATGATTCACTGAAAGCTCAGGTGATAGCATTTTTAAATTATTTTTTAATTAAAGTGTATACTTCTTTTAGACATAGTGCTCTTGTACATAATAGACTACAGTATAGTGTAAACATAACTTTTATCTGTACTAGGAAATCAAAATATTCAGCCGGCTTTATTATGATACTCATTTTACTGTAATGGTCTGGACCAAACCCACAATATCTCCACAGTATGCCTGTATTAAGACAGATGACCGGGAAAATACTGGTGCCTCTAGGGAAATGGGTGGGAGGAACTAATTTTAAGAGATGGTGCATTTGGTTTAACACAGGCTCTACAAGCACCGAGGCTATTCCTGCTTGGGACTAGGAAAGGTTCAGGCAGATTGTCCACTTGGGTGCTTCCCCAGTAGGTAGTTGAAAATGTGGAATTGGAGCTAAAGAATGGTGAGTCTTCCCACGTCCAATGCCCAGAATCAGACCAGCACCCCAACATGGACCCTGAGTGCGATTGGGAAGGCATTAGTGCCCAGGGGCCACAATCCAGCTTGCTGGAAGGAAACTTGGGGACATCTGTAAGGAGAGGAAAAGGAAGGACCTGAGGAGAAACAATAAAGGAGGGCATTATAGATCCTTTGGAGCCAAGGACTAGAACTGACTTGCAAGACCTGTACCGACGAGGGGTTTCACGAGCACACTCCTTTGCCAAGATCTTGGTGAATAATCTTTCACCATGTTCTTGTGTCCTGGACATTGTTCTACCTGTTATCATGATCATGCTTGGCTGGATTCTTTTTGTTGCATTTGCATATTACATGGGCACATTTCTGGAGTTCACTCCTCCAGCTCTGAAGTGGAAAGAGAAGTGGCCTGAGGAGAGCAAGGCACAACTGAGGACCCAGGCTTTGGATGAAGAACCACAACTATGAGAACCATGTCGAAGGGATAGAAGTATCCCACAGAAAGGACCCTGGTGGAAATAAGCAAAGATGATCCTGGTAAAGCAGGATCAGATTACTAAAATAAATAATTTTTTTTTAAATGGTAAGGATAATGAGAGACCTAGACTTTGGAATCAGCACTGAAATGGTGAGATGGCAGAGGTAGAGGGTGTTAAATGCCAAGTCACGTTGAGATAGAAGCTGTGAAACAGCTGCATCCATGCAAGGATGCCTGAGCACTACAGAGAAAGCAGAAAGAGGGGAAAGTGGACATTTTTGAACATCACCTATGTGCAACACCTTGCTAGATTCTTTACATGCATTATTTAATTTGATCTTCACAATCCAGTAAGGTCAGTAGTGGTGTCCCACTTCCCAGAGGAAGAAACAGACTGGGAAGACAAGTACTTTGTCCAAGATCACACCGGGACTCAGACTCAGACTGTGTAACTTCAAAATGTGTGCACTTTTCTTGGCACGGTGTACTTCAGAAAGGTCTGTATCCAGCCAGAACACTGCCAGGGAATCCAAAGCAATTATGAGGTTAAAGAAGTGGTAACTACCTTTCTGAGAACCTGGTATTTATTGAAATAGTATTGAAAAAGGTATTGAATGGTATTGAAAAAGGACGAGGATGAGGGGGCGCCCGGGTGGCTCAGTCGTTAAGCGTCTGCCCTTGGCTCAGGTCGTGGTCCCGGGCTCCTGGCTCCGCGGGAGGCCTGCTTCTCCCTCTGCCTCTGCCTCTCTCCCTGCTCGTGCTCTCTCTCTCTCTCTCTCTGTAGCTCTGTGTCTCAAATGCATAAATAAAATCCTTTAAAAAAAAGAAAAGGACAAGGACTGATAAAAGCTGTGGCTTTGGCAATTAGGTGGTGGTAGGTGACCTTCAAGAAAGCAGTTTTTTAGGATGATAAGCATGGAGACCAGATGGCAAGGACAACTGCAGTAGACAGTTGTGAAGATACTAGACGTAGCACATGTTGACCACTCTTTCCAATTTGGTTGGCAGAAGAGAGGGAAGCGACTATAACCCCTTATGACATGGTAAATCTTCAGAAGACTTCTCAAGATAGTGGAGGCTTGGGCGTGTTGGTGGCAAGGAGCCAGGAAATGTCAGGTAGAGCACTTTGGGGAGTACTAAAAAGACACTGGGTGACTGGCAGCATGAGGCCCATGAAGAAACTGGGAATGTTAGCAAAGGAAAATTTGCCTGTTCTTCCCAAACCCCTTTCACCCACCTCTCTTTCCCACTGTTTCCTTCACATATTTCTCTCTCCTTGCCTTAAATGTATATTTGCTAACATTTTGCATTCTTAATTTCAAAAGTGAATGAACCAAACCTTGTATATTTCTCCTTCCAAAAATCCATGTTAGTATTATTGATTTTTTACTTGCTCTGATTGAGTCTTACCCTGCTCCACTGCAGGTCCTAGGAGAATTAAGTGTAAGGCAGCATTTCTAAGCTTGACCTATATACAGCCACTATGTTTAATTCTGGTGAATTTTTTTCATATTCATGATTTTTACCTTCCCTACCTTCTCATCTTTCATGACCCACAAATCATTCCTGGGGCCATATGCATGTACTTCACACACACACACACACACACACACACACACACACACATTTCTACATGAAAATAAGAGACTTCCCATTGTTCTAGAGCTTGTGTTTGGATAATACATAAGCAGTACTAAACCAGGAAAGATGTCTACCATAAGTGAGGTGAATTTGAAACTGTTTCCTTACCAAAACATAATCTCCTTCAACCAAGGGTATTGTTTAGATTACTTTTGTCTCCCTAGTGCCAAACATTCAATCTGGCACTTAGTAAAGTACTCAGTATTTATAGAATAAATCAAACGAATGAATGGATAGGAATGACTTAAATAAATTGTTGTTGATGTTATGGACTTAAACATAGAATTGGTAGCACTGGTAAAATGGCTTTGCACAGGAAAAAACAAAAATCGTTGCTTACTATAATGAGTGAAAGGAAGGACAGTGACCCTGTGTCTCTGTAATGATTCATATTTTCCAGGGTGGGTATGGTCTGATAAGGGTGTGACTATTTAGCCTAAAAGGAATCGCTACTTTTAACCAAATCTAGCATTGCTTTTTTGCAAATAGATTGTTAAAAAATCTTTAATGAAATTAATGAAAAACAGTTAAAGCTAGATGTAAATGTGAGATTGTTTTTTTAACTCCTATAATTATAAAATTAGTGAATATTTAAATTTTTTTAAATGTTTCTTTGATTTAAAAACTTGATTCCAAATACTGCTTTTCTCTTACCTTCCATGGACTTTATCTTTTATCTTCTGTGGACTGATAAAATAGAAGAATTGGTTAAAGAGCAGTTAATTACCAAGTCTGTATGGTATTGTACTAAATCTTTTATATATCTGGTACATCACAGACAGAATTCTGGAGAAATCTTTGAATGTTTTACATGTTGGTATTTGTTGAATTGGAAGCATTTATCAAATATTAACGGATCCTAATGGAAAATTTTACTCTAAAGGCAAACGCTTCCTTTAACTAGTTTTATGAATGTATTTTATTAACTAGTCTTGCAAAGTTGAATGAAAGTTTTAAGGAGAAAAAATGATTATTCCCATGTGTATTGAGTGTTTGTTAAATTCAAGATCCTAAGCGCCTAGTGTGTTTTTCCTCTGTTGTCTTTAAACACTTTCGTTTAGATTGTTGATTATAGAGACTTAACACCTTTTTAATATTCTTCCTGCCGCTGACTTTTCTCATTCTGATAGTTCTAGTTAACTGTAAAGTCACTTCTTGGAGGCAAAATTCAAATGCTTCCATTTTACTCCTTGTCTAAATATTTTTTACAAAGCTTTAGAGAAGACTTTAAGGCCAAAAGGTAAAATGAGGCTTGATGTTCTATTATTGCTGTTTGTGTTGTTCCACTATGCATTTTGAATGAGGGGTTTGAGAGTTGGCTTTCTGTCATTTTAGTACTGCTAGAAAAGGCATACTCTTGTCTTAAAAGACGAGGCATATCAAAATATACACAAGGCTTAATACTGAAAATTCCACTGGAGCAAAAATACTTGGGAAACTACTACAAACTGCTTGGTGAACACCTACAGTTACTGTGGAAATGAAATCATGTTACAGGAACTGAATTGCCTGTACTCTTTCAGAGTTCCATGTATTTACAGATTTTTCTTTCCATTGAGTTTTTCAACCCCCCCATTATGATGTTGTTCGTCATATGGAGGTTTTTAATAATAGTGAGTGGCAAATCAGCTGCACTGCAAAAATGTTTTGTAAGAATAAAGCAGTCACCAGGTTATAACTAGTATTCTTATGGTTTCATTGGAGAGAAAAATGTTGCTCATCTGAAAACAGATTTATACATCTTTCACATGTTCCCAGTTCCTAAAACCATAAAATTAAATGCCACTCATTCTCTGCAGTTAAGGTTATACATTAAGATATATGGTTATGCAGTTGACCCTTGAATGTAGTGGGGGCTGGGGCACTGACCTCCCCCCCCCCACAGTCAAAAATCCACATGTAACCTTTGACTCCCCCTAAACTTTACTAATAGCCTGTTGTTGACTGGAAGCCTCACCAATAACATAAACAGATGATTAACACATACGTTGTATGTTATATGTATTATATATACTGTATTATTACAATAAAGTAAATTATCAAGAAAATCATTAGGAAGAGAAAATACATTTATAGTACTGTACTATATATTTAAAAAAAAACAAAAAACTCCGTGTATAAGTAGACCCATGTAGTTCAAACCCATGTTGTTCAGGGGTCAACTGTACATTAAATGTAGAAGTAGGGGCACCTGGGTGGCTCAGTCGGTTAAATGTCTGCCTTCGGCTCAGGTCATGATCCCAGGGTCCTGGGATCGAGCCCTGCATTGGGCTCCTTGCTCAGCGGGAAGCCTGCTTCTCCCTCTGCCACTCCCCTTGCTTGTGTTCACTCTCTGGCTGTGTCTCTCTCTGTCAAATAAATAAATAAATAAAATCTTTAAAACAAATAAAAAATATATGTATGTATGTATGTATGTATGTAGAAGTAAAGGAATCCCTGGGTGGCTCAGTCGGTTAAGCATCTGCCTTTGGCTCAGGTCATGATCTTGGGGTCCTGCGATCAAGTCTCACACTGGGCCTCCTCCTCAGCAGGGAGCCTGCTGCCTCTGCCACTCCCCCTGCTTGTGCTCTCTCTCTTTGATGAATTTTAAAAATCTTAATAAATAAATGAAAGGAGTAAAGATATGTATTCTTTCCTCAAGGGAAAAGAATGCACATTTGGAAAAAAAAACTTCTTATGTAATTGGAAGGAATATATAAACTCTTGTATCTGAGATTAAGATGAGGAAGTAGAGTCAGCAAATGTAGATTTCTCTATTGAGAAACTTAATCATAGGGTAGGAGAGAGACTGAACAATTTGTTTTGAAAAGACACTTAAGCATGTTAATAGGGTGTGGAGAAGGAGCCGGTAAAGAAAAATAATCTGAAATTGAGAATGAGACGGAGGGGCGGTACATACCATGGAACAGGGTCCCAGGGGAGGCACAAAGAAATGGGACCATGGTCACAGGCAGATGGACTAGCTTGAACAGGGGAAAGCAAGTCCCTCGTCTGAGACTGGAAGCAGGTAAGTGAGGAATAGTGTGGCTATAGATAAGTTTGTAAGTAGAAGGGAGAGATTTTAAAGCATGCCTGACAACTTCATTTTTCATGAAGTTGGTCGGGTAGAGAGTGAAAATACCTGTAACAGAGTAGTCATTAGGAGGATGTGGAAAAGGCTGTATCCCAGGGCCAGGGAATGTTGACAAGTGACCCTGCATGGCCAGAAGAGGCCAGAGATCACGGGTTCGTAGCGGCAGCAGTCTCCTTCCTCCCACCCACCTCGCCCCAGGGGTTTTAACCAGCCTGCTGTAGCTGTGGAGAAAGCAGGTTGTAGCATCCACGTCAGCTTGCAGTTGTCATGAACGGGAAAGCGAAGACAAGGGAGCAAGAGACTCAGAGCAGTGCTGG